GGGACAGGAAAGCTGGTGATAGGGAACCCAAAGTTGAGTAAGGACAGTGTTGACATGTAGTGGGGTTGTTAACCATTGTCATAGGGCAACATGTGTAATGTTTAATGAGAAACTATTTTTTTCTGTAAACCTTCATCTAAAGTGAGAATAGCAGCACAACTGGAAGAATGTAATCGATGTCACTGAACTCTGCATGTAGAAATTTTTGAAATGGTGTGTCTTCGGCTATGTATATTTTCAACAACAACAACAAAAAAGGTCGAGAAGGGAGAGGTTGACATGTCGTGGGGTTGTTAAACAATGTCATAAAACAATATGTGTACTGACTGTTTAATGAGAAACTATTTGTTCTGTTAACCTTCACCTGAAGTACAATTAAAAAAAAAGAAAAAAAACCTTGCCATTTTAGTGATTTTTAAGTGTACAATTCAGTGGCATTAGTTACATTCATAAAGTTGTACTACCATCACCACTATCTAGTTCCAAAAGTTTTTCATCATTCCAGGCAGAAATTTTGTACCTATTAAGCAATAACTCCCCACTCCCCCTTCCCTAGCATTTACTTTTAACAATTAATGTATGAGATCCAGTTTCAGACAAGTGTGCAATTTTATTTACTGAAATTTTCTAGCAGATTTTTCTTTGTCTATATGGAGGTGTTATTGCAGTACCTGGGGCACCTTAAGATGCTAAAATAGTATATTTCTTTGGTAAACCAAATAAAATTACCTATTTAGTTCTTTTCTAAAATCATTTGAAATTTAGTATCAAAATCACATCTTACTTTATGACTTGCCAAACATAGTAATTGGGCACCAGTAGAATTTTACTGTTTGAGGAGGGAGTGAGATAATGAAACGTAATCTTAAACATGGCTCTATTTTGTGAAATAGCTCATAAAATGTTGATACTAATTTCTGAATGCTTGGTTAACCAGGCATTGCTGTTGATTCTGACTCATTGCAACCGCATGTGTGTCAGAGTAGAACTATGCTCCATAGGGTTTTCAATTGTTGATTTTTTGGAAGTAGATTGCCAGAACTTTCTTCTGAGGCACCTCTGAGTGGACTTGACTCTACAACCTCTCAGTTAGCAGCTAAGCACGTTAACTGTTTGTACTACCCAGGTACTCCAATGCTTGGTTAATGGACTCTTACTTCTATCCAGGGTGCTTTGTTTAATATATTGTGACTAGTCTGAAATTCCTGTTTTTAAAATATACGTTCTGCCTTTAACTAAATTTTTAACTCTTGTACAACAATAAAGTAGGAAACACATTTATTTAGTCTCTAGAGTTTATTCAAATGTTACCAGTATTATTTACGTTTATAATCATTCATGGAATAGGATCCTATGGTTAAAGAAAGGCACAGGAAAATACTAGTATTTTCTAGTTAAAACTAGAGGGCTTAGTTGAGAGCTTCATAATCCTAATTCTCCAGTATAACTCTCCTCTCTCTCTCATGGAAATTATTAACCCTATTTTGCTTGTTTTCCAGGCTACATTTTTTTTTTGCTGCCTTGTTTTTGTTAATATTCATTTCTCTTTTGAGTTTTCTTTAATAAGCTTCATGCTTACCAACTATATGTTAAATATCATGAATATAAAAATGTTTAAATAGTGCGTTGCCTTGAGGACCTTAAATTTTTTATTCTTTCTGGCTTCTGCATTTAAGGTACTCATTTTACTTTGCTGATAAATATCTAACCTGTTTCATTTATCTGTATACCTGAAAAACAACAACGTTGCTACCCATCTTTTAGATGATATTATACCTAAAAACCTCAGGGGCCCAGTTATCAGGGACAAATACCAAAATGCATGTGCTAAAATTAACCTATAGAAAATCTGTTTTGCATGGACTGTAAGCATGTTAAATTTGATATGAATAATTATTTTAATCATCATAATTTA